CCTAGGGACTAACAAAATACAGACACAGACAGAAGGATATCCTCAAAGCACCGAAGGAGTAGGACTGCCCTTCCCTGGTACCTACAGATGGCCCAAAGGACCCAGATGGAAAATCATCCACTCCCCCCAACCCTGGCTTGCGTTCTGGTTGTGGCTTACAAGCAAGTGTGTTTGTTTCAGACGTTTGGGGTTTGGGTACCCATAAGATCTCCTTTCTTGCCAGTTTGTAGAGGACAGGGGTCTGGATGGTGAGACCATGCTGCTGAGATCCCTGGGGCTCTAAATGGCCCTGGCAGCTGCAATGGTGTCTCCTAACAGATGATCACACCACCCAGGTCCTGCCGTGGTTGTCAAATGAAATAGTCTGAGCAACTCTTGGTGGCTATTTTACGTTTGCCAGTGAGTCCTGGAATCTGGGAAGAACGAAGTTTAATCTGAATTCAGAATTCAGCGAGTCAGAACCCAGTGTAGCCATCAAAGTCCGCTCAAAGCAACACAAATTCATTCCAGTAATTAGAGTATAACAGGTGTTCTTATCTGTCTTAACTATTGATTAATAGCAATTATGTGTCTTGTGACCATGATTAGTATCTTTCTCATCAGAGTTTAGACACCCAGCAGTTGTTGACATAGCCAGCATTCCGATTTTATCAATCCCACCAGCCTTTCAAGTTACAATGACTTTGAACAATTTGGGGCTGCATCCTTACTTACCAGTCGGTTACAGTTCTTATACCAGGAGCTTTGGTTCTCACGGCGTAGCTAAAATGAACTTTACATATAAATTTGAGTCAAAGGCATAAAAGAAAGCAGTTGCTATCTAAAGACTAAGGGAACAGATACATTTCTGGGTTTTAGGGAATTTCAGCAGACCCCATTTTTTATCTAGGTCCGGCAGAGACTTCTCCAGGGACGTGCAGTTTTTCTTGCTTTTAGCGGGCTCATTGCAGATGGTTGTGTTCCCTTCTGTAACAGCAAGTTACTAGATCCAAGGGTAGTGAAGGACAGGGAGAAGGAAAAATTTGCATTCAAGCAGATTCTATGTTTTAACCTAACTCAATGGAAGTTTCTAAATTTGATTACTTTAACAGTTAAAGCAATCAAAATAGCTCTGAAATTTGAAATTTCCATTAGTCTCCTGAACTGTTGGTCTTGCCATGTCTACATAATAATAAAACCTGTATTAAATCAGGGACCCGGAATGGGGCCTGTGGTAGATTGTTACAGGGATGATCCCCTAATGAACCGTGCTTCCTCTTACGCTTCATAGTCCCCTTCCAAAACGGCTCTCTTTGGTCATGTGGCTTCTTTGGCCCATGGGACATTAACAAATGTGAAAGCAGCAGAGGTTTGCAAAGTGTTCACACATGGGTCCTTTCCCCTCTTGCTTTCCTGAGACCACCCTATGAGGAAGTTTAGTCAAGTCCACTGGAGGATGAAACCATGTGGAGCAAAGATGAGTCGTCCCACCTGAGGCTCCTTAGTCCTCAAGCAAGCCATCAGGTGACACCAACCCCATGAGTGGTCCCAGGTGCGACTAGCAGAGGAACTACCCAGCTGACCCACAGAATGAAGAAACATTTTTTAAAAAGAAAGAAAGAAAAGAAACATAATCAAATGGCTGAAGTTTAAGCCGCTAAGTTTGGGGTGGCTTACAAGGGAAAGCTTGATGTGAGGTAGAGTCTTACTGGCCATGTGTCTTGTCAACACAGCTTCAGCATTTATGAAAACATCTGATGGCCTGTCGATGTCTTCCTGTGCCTAGCAGCACAAGGATTTGGAAGAAGGTCCTCATTAGAGTGATCCGTGATCCTGGAAGTGCAAGGAGAACATTCTCGTAGGAGACTAGGAGCTGTGAGAGCTGAGTTGCAGCCACAGTAGAAATGCCTTCTTCCTTCAGAGCCAGCAGGAGCTGTCAAGCAGTGGGGGCAGCAGCTATAGTTGAATGCCAACCAAAGCCTGCAGTCGTGGGCAAGGAATGGAACGGATAACACTAGGGTGGGTGCACGCGGAATGAGCCAAATACCTCTGAGATGTGAGGTGAGGGGGAATCAGACAGGGCCACTGAGGGGAAAAAGAGGTAGTACCTTAAACTACCTGCAAAGAATAAAAAGTGTTGCAGAATTAAGAAGAAGAGATGATGAGGGACACAGGGACTAGCATCCGTGGGGAGCCACTAGCACCCCTAGTCTGAAGGAGAAAGGGGGAAACGGTGGTTCAGAGCTCCTTAGAATCAAAACTGTGGGGAAAGGGCTGGCTGACAGGATCCACGGCTGGAGAGTAGAGTAGGGCTGAGAAGGGATCTGATGTCCAGCACAACAGGACAGAGTGAAGCGTTTATTTTTCAGTAGTTTCACTTCACTTTCCAGGGGTCCCCAACACCTCCCCTCACCCCCACCCTCCATCCATCCATGACCTGTTCGGACAGGCAGCAGGAGGTAAATGGTGAGCCAGCCAAGCTTCATCTGTATTTACAAGTCGCTCCCCATTGCTGGCATTACTGCCTGAGCTCCGCTTGCTATCAGATAAGTTGTGGCATTAGATTCTCACAGGTGCTGGATCCTATTGTGAATTGCCCATGCAAGGGACTTAGGTTGTGTGCTTCTGAGCAGACTCTAATGCCTGATGATCTGAGGTGGAGCTGAAGCGGCAGAGCTGGGGAGTGGCTGCAAATACAGATCAATGCAGTGAGGTCTGACCGCACATTTTGCTCTCCCTTCCCCCAGCCCCCACGCCATTGTGGAAAAACTGTCTTCCACGAAACCAGTCCCTGATACCAAAAAGGTTGGGGACTGCTGATCTCTGTGACCTCAAGTCAAAAAAAAATTTTTTTTTTTAGTTGGAGTCTCACTCTGTCACCCAGGCTGGAGTGCCGTAGCATGATCACAGCACACCTCCAGGACTCAGGCGATCCTTCCATCTCAGCTTCCCGAGTAGAGCTGGGACGACAGGTGTGCACCACGCCCAGCTATTTGTGTGTGTGTGTGTGTGTGATTTAAAAAAATATATTTTATTTATTGATTCTTTTTTATTATAAAGATGTGGGGTACAATTCAGGGTTAGGTATACAAACGTTGATTATGCAGGTACCTTTTTTTTTTTGTAGCGACGAGGTCTGGCTATGTTGCCCAGGCTGGTCTGGAACTCCTGGGCTCAAGCAATCCTCCTGCCTCAGCCTCCCAAAGAGCTAGAATTATAGGCTGAGCCATCGTACCCAGTCTCAAGTCAAATTTACATACAGGAAGCGGGTAGGATGTTTTTGAAGGGAAATGCGTAGTGAGAACACTGGGACCCAGCAAACTTGGACTCAAATCCTAGTCCTGTTGCTTCCCATTAGGGATCTTGGGACAGTTACCTCCCCTTTGGGAGCATCTAACTGGGGACACGACATCCCAGCTGTCTACCTTAGACAGCTCTCTGGCGAAAGCGTTTTTCCAGCCGTCAAGCGCTGAAACCGAACTTGATGACGACCGATTCTGCTACATCCCTAACGCTTCAGCTCCTGCCATAGAATCCCTCCGCCCCTTCGTCTTTAGTCTGAGGACGAAGCTGCCCCGACCACACTCGAGGCCAACTCCAGTCCACAGCCGGAGGACTTGAGTTCGCATTCTGTCTTTGCCACTTAACCGCATCGCCCAGGTGCCTCCCGGGATCCGCTTCCCCTCGGTGTTGCGGGACTGCACACGGATGGGGGGGCGGCGTGTGGTACGCCAGGGCTCGGTGACTCAGGCGGCGCAATAGTCATCAGGCGTCGAGAGCCGGGGTGCTGGACTCAAGGGCCAGGCTGGCGCAGCCCCCGCAGCGGCCACTGACAGGCGTCAGGGAGGCCCTACAGGTGCTCCAGCC